GGGGGGGGGGGGGGGGGGGGCCCTCATGGGTTCGAGTGTTGATATTGCCATAGAATAGTTGGCACGCTTTGGTTCGTTGCCGTAATATGACACGCCTTGTTCGGTTCATCCTTGGTTCATCAAGAGTTAGGGGTCCTCAAAGACATTTTTGGATTGGCGTAGCAGCAGCGCTTGGAGCGCCAGAAGAACAGCAGTGAGAGCGCGTGAGAGAGATGGAGCGGGGCAGAGAGGGGTGGAGAGAGGCAGGCATCCCTGCTCTCGTTTGGCCCCTTAGTGCCGCTCGAGAATCGTTTCTCCGCTTGCTTTCGACATGACCCTCTTATTCATGAGTCGACGGGGCTGTCACTGCTGTCTTCGTCTACCGTTATCGTTACCAGTATCTCTTTTACGTGCTTGAGCGCCTTCGATTCCTGCTCATCTCTTTGTGCGATATACAGTTTTACAGTTGGAGTTGTAACCCAAATTCTACAGATTTTTCTTTGAATGAAGTATACGGCAGTTATCCAGTGCCAGTGTAGCTCAACCAGCGCGGCAGAAGATGTATTTACACGCGTTCCTCGTTTTGCTGTGGTCGGTGTCATCGTCGTCGTTGTTGTTATTTGAGATGTCGCTTTCGTCATCGCAAGTCCTTGCTAGATACGAGTACCATTGCGCTCCCCATTACGCGGACGGTATGAGAATCAATCGTGTCTCTTAATAGACGCAGCAGCAAGAAGGCTCTTCCTCTGTCGTTTTGACGCCGTTGCCTACGACCGCGCTTTCTCCCGCTCTGCTGCACGGGGGGCGTGGTCTGTATGCGGCGCCCACGTTTCCACGTATGCGGCCGACTGTTCGCAGCCGACTGCCTTTCCCGTAGGCGGGGCTTCGCGGTGGCGGCTTTTGGTTGACACGGTCCGTGGGCAAATTGTAGGCGCTCGCTCGTTCCTGCTCTCAACCATTGCGTCCCTGCTTTTCGACGAACGAAAGTGGCGGCACAAGTAAAGGCCTATTTGGGGGGGGTTCTACAGCAATAGTGAGAGAGCGAACATGCTTGGTGACGCGGGCGCCCCCCTCGCCGGTAGGTCTGGAGGGCGTCTAACCCCACCACCATCACCGCCGCCACACTCAGCAGACGCGAATCTAGAGACCGAACCGTCTGTTGTTGTCCTCCCATCCTTGCGCTTTCGTAAGGTTGAGCTCCTTGGAAGTTGATTGTTGTCGAGCGCTTCTCGGAGTTGTAAAGATGGAAAGGGAAAGGGCACGCCGGGAGTAATAGGGACCTTTCTAGGGTTCAGGATTGTTTCCGAACGGCCCATACATTTTCGAATAGAACGGTGGTACTATTTACGATGCACAAACCGGGGTCACACGCCACGGAGGTAACCCTGTGTGTCTGTTGCTTTTTTTGCCCCGCCTTTTTTTGGGTCAGCGCGGAGCTTGCCTTGCCCTTGAACGAGCGAGAAGGGTTCAGCGTTTCGTCCCCTCTGTTGTGTTTACGCACTACGCACTGCACCTTCGCGTTTTCCACATCTAGAGAATGATTCACTCACGGATGTTTCACTCCAAGAGAGATGCGAACCCGCAATCCAGAGAGTCAGGTTTCAAGGCTTGCCTCCAACTGCATCACCGGGGGTAACACACATGTGACAGCACGTTGGGCATACTCGGTCAGACGCGCATAGGAATGGCCAGAAAGCCGGTCTACATGGAAAGACCCAACGCTCGCCGATATCCCCCGATACAAGGCGGTGTTCACCAGACGCACAAGCATCTTACCTTTCGACAAACGATCTTGAGTCAAACCTTGAGTACCTCCAGTTGCATGCCAGCAACGATAGACACAACAACAGCGAAAAAACAACAGCGCGGCTCACTGCAAGTCGACACGGCCAGAAGCTGACGGTGCCGATGCTTGCTCCGCTAACATCCAAAAATGTAACAACAACAAAACAGTCGACAGCATCTGCCTTCAGAAACGCCCCCCCCGCCATGAAAACCTCCTCGTCCCGGACGCCTTCAAACGTCGCATCTTGTCCAACAGGCTTTTTGCTGGGGACCAGCGGGTATCAGCACATGACGGGTCTTGGACGACTAATAACGACCCGTTCAGCCCCCTTACACCCACCCAGGAAGCGGTACATGTGGGACGATGATAACCCCCCCCCCCGGGCGCGCGGTTTTGCCATCGGGATTGGGTTTTCGTCTCTTGGCAAAGACGTTGTAAAACAAGCCAATTCACTTCGTGAGCTCGGCAACCAGGTTACCGTTTTTTTTTTTACCTCCGGTTTTTTTTTTGGCGGTAACCATAATGGTGGTCGAGTAGATCATGTTGTGCGGGGTGGAGAACACTCGCTCCGCGCAAGGGGGATGATCGCACCACGTTGTGTTAAAATGGTCAAGCACCCTCGAGGCAGTTACACAGTGCTT